GCCCATTTACGTCAGTCCTCATGTTTGTAATTCCCTTAAGATTTCCTCCTATATAAAACAGGTCTTTAGCCAGCAACTGCAAAGGTGGGGGAGTTTTTTCTTTAAGCAAAAGCAGACTGTTTTAACTCCCATAGTCGATCCAACTAAAAAAAGGCATAGAAGCTAGATCAATTTTTAGCTCATAGCAGACCTTTTCAGCTACACCAATAGAGCTTAGCTTATTCTTTATAAACCCCTCCCCCTCACTCCAAACACACATGCATTCACGCATGCACGCACACACATACACACACATGCACAAAACACACTCACAGCCTATGGGTCCTAAAAATCATGAAAAATAATATCCTGAGCATCCTTATGGACTAAGTCTGGCAAGAACTAAAATATTCACAGATCACCCCTCCAGGCATCTGGTCTATGTTGATAATCTTATGTCTCATCTGTTCTAGAATAGTCTATGGTGTAACTTGTCTGGTATTTCTGCTTCAGAAATACCAGACATCCTGGATGTCAAGAAGGGAGGGGGTCATTTCATTTATTTATTTGTCTATGCATTTGTTGTTTGTTTGTTGTAACTAATATATTTATTGATTTTATTCAATTATTTTTTAGCTGAAACTCAACAAATGTATCTGCAGTTGATGACCTGTCATGCATGGTTGAAACTAAAATGTCATGTATAAAATCATAGATCTGAAATGATTTCTATATACTGGCAATTCTAAAATATGTAAAATCACCACATTTGTGATCAAGGACCTTTGATGGAAACAGATCATCTCTTTAGAAACTATTTTCTTTTTGTTTGAGAATGGAAAAATGTGAAGAACTCAAAATCATTTTTAACAAAAAAAACTGAATCAAAATATCTCAAATGTAGTTGTGAATAGTTTCCTTTTTTTCTATTGTATGGAGCCACTATATGTTAGCTTTCTAACTGACAGGCTGTAAATACATTAACACACTGGGAAATTCACTGCGAGGAGCCGCTTGGGACTACCCAGAAAATTACCAGGATTCCACATGTACCTAAAAATGATGATGTAGCACATATGGTCGTGTATGATGCCCTTTCAAAAACCACCTAAATTATTTATAAGACTCCATGCTCTCTGCACATCTGCTCAAGTGGTTGATGTGGCCAACTTGGATAACTGACTCAGTTAAGGGTTAAAAAAAAAGAAGCACAAATTTTCCCAAAGCGAGCTGCTTCTGTCTCCAAAATTGATCACCCATTTTTGCTTAAATGCAAGAGTCCATTATTGGAACATGAGGCCTTAGTTATCTCACAATAAAACCCGTGCTGGCTGCTTCAGGAAAAAATCTAGACAAGTTCTTTCTTTATGAAATAAGATATTTTTTCAGTATTTCAACTGCCTGTATATGTGTGTGTGTGCAAGCACAGCCTCCACATATCATTTAAAGCTACTTCTTGACGTCTATTAGTACTGGTACATATGGGAGCAATTGAAATGTCAAGAAATATACATATTTCCTCATTGCTGAAATGCCCACTACAATTGATATATACCTATCATGGTCATACCTTCTTAATAAGTTGCACACCTGACAAATAAGATTTATATTAATCTATCCATCGTAAACCTTTTACAGGATATCCCCAATGCATGCAAGGTTATTTAAAACATTTTTTCATTGAAATATATATATAGGAAGTGTCTTAGATTCCAGCTTAGGCATAAAACATATCATTATACAACAACAGGCCAAATTAATTTTCTTTAAAAGATCTGTAAAAATCGATAATATGAAATATTGGAAGAGAATATTTCGGGAACACCTACCTTTAAAGCCTGTACCAACAAGATGTAGAGAAGACCTCTATATATATACATCTCTCTGCCTGTGCCAAAGGTGTGAAAGCTGACTCAAAAGAAATTCTCAATTGGCAAAAAAAATGTCTGAACTCTGTACAGTTTAGTCATCTTGTCAGTCTATCAAAATAAAACTAAAGAAAAGCTGTTACTAATTACACTACTAAAATGGCTACACCAGCTGAATGCTAATATTTCAAACAAATCTCCAGTTTTAAATCAGCAAAGGGCAATATTCTCCTTTTAAAGGCATACAATTAATATGGCAAAGATTTATCTTCCTGGAAATTTCATTAAAAAAATATTTAAACCAAATTATACCATATCCACATCACTCCACAGAACTTTAATCCAATTAACCCATTTTGAGTTCTAATTTTTTGTTTTTTAAGTCACTGGTGAATTTCACTTGTAACTATAATTGGCATCTGATAAAAAAATGATAGTTCAAAATGACTCTTATCAAGGTCCGTCAGAGTTCAGAGATAAAACAAGAAATTCAATTAAGCCCAATCAAAATCAGAATCAAAATCAATATTGATCTCATGTGGTAATGCCTATCCATCTAAATACATGTAGATGGAAAGGGCAAAGTTGATCTTAACAGAAAATATATAAAAAATGCCTCCTTTGCTTCAAATACACCGATATTGTGGTAAATCAATATATATAACTTAAGATGTAATGGTAACTGCTATTGAGACACACACACACATACATATACACAAACAAACACTCCATCCAAAAAACACACACTACTCACTTTTAGTGTTAAAACTGAAAATCTTCCTTTTGCCACTCCAAATACCCACTGACTCCATCATAATTCTTAAAAGCAACAGTTCAGGAAATCAAAAAGCCCAATACCACTGTCTTAATGGTCGTGTGTTCTAATGTTCTGTGCTCTTATCAGACAATCATAAAAGCCCACAATATCCTCATTAGCCAATTTTGTGGCACGATGGCTTCTCTGTAATAATTTAAATAGAACTATTACTCCCCCGACGTCCTGGTATGACCTTTAAGCAATAAAGGAATCAAATTTATTTGAGAATATATTTCCTCCTTTTAGGAAATTTTTACACTCAAAAAAGCCATTGACTAACAAATGTTTCAGTCATGGAATGCAAAAGGTGTTGTGTAATCTTAAATACTTTTGAAATATGTTTTTCTTTCTGTATCCAATTTCTTTGCAGAAATATTCAAAAACAGACTTCTAACAGAATAGGAAAACCTATAAATGTCACATTTTCCTTAACTGCATCAATTCATAATGTACTATCAGTGACATTTTCAACCACAGCTTACACCCTGTAACCTTGCTCTTATGAAAACTTTTTAACAAGATATTCGCTGGCATTTCTCTGGCTATTCACTAGCTGTGCACATTCCCATTCTGTGTTCTGTCAACTGATTTTTTTTATTTTATTTTTCACAACAGCTTCGACAGCACCAAGTCAACCTACAGTAGACTTCACCTTAAGCTTATAAATACCACGATTGCTTTAGTTGAGATGGAAACGGCTAACACATTCCTTCATCTCACCCAGTCACATCTGGCAATTATCTTGGAATCCTCTTATAAGAAAGAAGCATGCAGTTCAAATTATTATATATTCCATTAACCCATGGTTCAGCTAAGCAGGTCTATAGATTTAAGATTCAGTTTTTAAATGGTTGTATGGTGGAATAGCTCTTACCTCAGATCATTTGGTTAAGAGATGAGAACAATTCTGATTCGCACAGATCCATAAAGACCAGGCACATATTGCAAAAAGCAATTTTCAGATTTTAACATATATTAAAGATAAAAATAATTTCATTACACACTCTATATCTGTTATTAATTGCAGTAAATAAACATTGTAATTAAACAGTCTTTAATAAGCACCAAGAGTATAGCAGACTGACAGTTGGTTTTAAAGTAAAATTTACTCTCGAACAACTGGGGGGCAATGGGTTGCTGTTCATCAAAACAAAGAGTCCAGAGAAAATACCCCAATAATACCACCATTCAAACTGCAAATTGCCAATACGCGTGCCAGTAAAAGTATTACTGTATTCTATTGTTATCCAACAGTGTGCCCAATAGCCATTATGCCATATGATTACAGGGGACATACAAATTTAGGATCCTGGGTGGCTTAATGAAGTGCACCTCAGCACTTGTCAAGGTGTGAGGAGTAAATTACAAAGTGGTACAATAATTATTGGGTGTTTAGTGTCTAGAAAGCATATGGTGACTTTAAGCAGAACAGGTGGTTAGAAAGATATGGGTATTCAGCCTTTGTGTTTCTTGCTTTTGTTAAGTTGTCTTTCATTTACTCTCTCTCTCTCTCTCTCTCTCTCTCTCTCTCTCTCTCTCTCAACATTAAATTAAGTACAATACATTCCATATTTTGTACATATTCATGATTATAGCTTTTTAAAAAAAGAGCAGTCTGAATTATGGAAGAACACCTCTACATTACAAACAAACTGATTCATAAATCTATTTAGATACTTCTCATTTTGGCTTGTCCAACGTCTTGTCATTAATGCACTATAAATATCACAGGTAACAGCATATTTTGGGGGTTACTGGACAGTTCAGCTCCAGGCCAGGTAATAAAATTACCTTTGAAGCATCACTACTCAAAACAAACCAGTGGGTGATTGTGAAGAATGCCTGTTATGGTTATTGTTCTATTACTGCCAATTTATGATGTTTATGTCCCTGGTGTAAAAGAAACAGCATAAATATAAAATCCGTGAAATAATTACCACTTATTTCTACGTAATAAATGTCATTTTTCAGTGCAAAAACAGGTGGACAAAGTCAGAAATCCATTATATGCCCTCATTGCCCAGGGAATGTAATGTGAAGTGCTCTCTCTCTCTCTCTCTCTCTCTCTCTCTCTCTCTCATTTCAGTATACATTCTGAAATATATTTCTGTATTAACAGACAGTTGATATTGTGATTAATAAAGAAACATCATAAGAAAACAATACTGAGGTTTTACACTGGCATATTCTATATTTTAGGCAAACAACTGATTTCCACCAATCAGCACTGGCTTTAATGATAATTTTTTGAAGTGTTTATTTTTAGTCAAGAATATTTTACACATTTAGAAAAATATAAATATGCCAGTATGAATCTCATTTTAAAAAAACCCTACCTGTATATCTGGGTAAAGATTTGCTCCCAATTTCTCCATAGCACCTGAATGTAGAGGGTCCCCATGTTCCATACACCTTGCGACATTCCAAATTTTCCTTCTGAGGAGTCCTCACACTTGCAACGAGGGGGGACCTGCTTCTTGCCATTAATTTATCCTTTAATGTCTGTGGATTAAACCCTTCAGGATTTTCCCTCTTCTGTCTAGCAGGGAGAGGAGGCAAAGCTTTTCCCAAATTTGAATTTTTCTCCAGTTTTTGTGGAGAAGATTTCATGTGACCTTCACCCTCTTCTTGGCCAGTTTGAACAGCAGAATTCATCCATTCTGGTGGTATCTTTGGATATGATTTTATTTTACCCTGCTGTCTTCCTGAATTATTATTATTATTATTATTTATTGGTTGTTGTCTAGGTAGTGTTCCGTAGCACTGATTTATCACTTCTCGATTGCTGCCTGAATTAATTAGTGGTTTCCGGGGCAATGTTCCATAACAAGGTCTCACATTATCTGTCTGACGCCTTGTTGAGCTGCGGAACGACTGGTAGCGAACATCAGCACGGCTGAATTTGTTGGTCAAGTTCTCCATAGCACACAAAATTCGTAGTCAAATCTTCACCAAATCACCTGTAAAAATTATATACATGTAGAATAGTAAGCAATGCTTATTAAATATAAATATAGTTATACGGCATTAAAAAATCCTCTGTAGAACATAACCACAGATTATTAGACTAAGTAAGCTTTCCTGCTCAATGAGATTCCATGATTAATAATAAATACTAAGTGTTTACCATCAACCAAAACAAAAAAATCTACTAGACCAGTGCACTTGACAATTGACTTCGTAGCCAGTATACTATTACATGTACTTCTTTTTACATGTATTAAAGTATGCTCTATATGTATTACTGACAACGCCCACAGCACTTTTCTCAAGTCTCTTTTTTGTCGTCTTTCAGAAATACAGCTCAGGCAAATATCACCTGTTTCTCTCCCCAGACTGGTCTCAGGTGTGCCAGATGAGATAATTGACCAATTACCTGGTGATCGCAACCTACCTACCTAGCTACTTCTCTGAAGAGTGTATTAAAGTGCCTGCTCACAAACTAGATGCACTAATAGACTGAAAGTCAAGTAAATGGTGTCCTTCAATTTCAACTGTTCCAGTCAAGATTCATGTACAATGTAGGCTGAACTTCTAAACAATAAAGGAAGAGCCCCCGTTGAATATCAAAAGTAGAACAATTTTTCAAAATACATAATGGTGCCTGTCAAAATTAATAATACCTGTTATTTAATTGCATCTAGTTCAGTAATTAACTAGAAATGGCAGATGGGTACATTGATAATAGGTATTTAGGGCTCATTCCCAATGAAACTGTTGTTCTACATGTACGTAGATCAATCTAACTCCACAGGCACTCTCGTTAATTGCAATCAGATTAACAGATTAACATACCTTTTGTTTCCAACCTACTCCTTAAATGAACAGTTTCTCTACTCAACACCACGAGGAGACATGTCAATCTGTTGATCTGACTGCATTCAGCAAGAGTCTCCACAAAGTTGAATCAATCTAAGAGGAAAGATTTTTTTTATTGGGAATGAGCCCTTAGATTCCAGGGTGTCATATCATAGGGATAAAAACAAGCCCTTCCCACCAGCTTACCTTCTGTATACCTTTGTACACTGTAGCATGTTGATATCAGGAAAAATAAAGTTTCAATGTGTGTAATTCAAGGTGTTATCAAAAAAAAGAAGCAACTCATTCTCACCTGTTTCCTTGCTGTTTGTTTCACCATTCAAACAATTAAGGTAACTATATAGATGATTGCCTAGTTTCACTGTTGATATGACTGCTTTAGCGCAAGCAATGACAGCTTCAATATTTCAGCTCAAAAGTAAGGTACGTGTAAAGGCTCCTATCAAATGTTCTACTAGTACGTACACCACGTAAAAACTGCTCTAAGAACAAGAATTTAACAACTTCAATTTCAAACTGTATAAAGCCAGATAAGAGTTTCTGTCAGATGCCTGCATGCATGGAGACCTGTCTGCCACTTTCCAGTATGGTGCTTATATATTGTGCACTGTCACCAATGAGATAGAACATAGGATGTGCTTCTACTAGTAATCACGGTAAAGTCACTGTCCATGCAGTGTTACCTGTTGATGTCAAACAATAGCCAGCATTTCACCTGGCACCCCTTTGGCCACAGGAAGGCTTGGGGTTGGTGACAAAGATGACCATGATTTCACGACCTGGTTTCCTGCCAGACTGACCTCTAAGGTCAGATGTCATTGGTCTGACTGCCACTGGTTGAATTTACCTGTGGCAATTGTCTGACTCACAGTGGATGAGGTTGACCTTTCAGTAGCATATATATATATACATGCTGTAATTGATTTTAATGTCTAAATGGTTGTTTTGTTAAGTAATGAAATGGAAAATGATCTGTCTAGATATCAGAGAACTACAATATAATTGCATTATGTAGAGTATTTAAATCCTGTTTTGATAGCAATTAACCTTATTTCCATCTGTCTCTTGTTGGCACAGATCAATATCTGAAATATTCACTTAGGGATAGTTTCGCAATGGAACTTTAGACAAAAATGGTCTTAGTAAGTATTTCTAAGACTAAAATTATTTGTTTACTTTCATCAAAGACAAAAACAGTTGTTTTTCAC